TGAATTACTGAGTTAATCCTAAACCTTTAAGACTGGACTAGCGCCAAATTTATCCTTACGGTATCATTGTTAAATCTTGAATCAAACATTAAGGTCTTACTTAAAATGAAGATGGGGAGATACGGAGTCAAACAGATATGCTCTGAGATGCGTGATGAACCGTTAATTTGGAGTATGCAGAGCGTGTTTATTTGCAGACTTAATTAATGGTTGAGCGATGGTGTATACAACGGAAAGCGGGTGAAACATATTACTAACGCTGTATGGCTTTTGTCGTTCGCAAACGTGAGTACGATTATTTTAGTTAACTTACAATGATTTGTTTTTTTTTTCTCGGGCTAAAAGAGGGAAAAACAATCGAAATAAATGGTTCGCTTTGTTCGCTTAATTTTTTTTGTCTTGTGCTGTTGTGCTTGTGCTGTGCTTGTGTACGTTTTTGAGACTTAGAACGATCAAGTTGGACAACTGATAAGCGGTTGAAAACACCTTTCGCATTCGTTCCTAGGATCATTAGCCGCTTACTTGTCGTTTTGGTCCTAGGAAGAGTTTTTTAACAATGCCCTACGACGCAATTTCAGAAAGGTCTCACGGAGCCAAGTGTTCACTGATAGCCAAAAAATTGCCTTGGAAAACCGCCGGTGGACTTTTGAGAGAGTTAGAAATTTAGTTTTTTTAATCAGTGAAGCTTTTACATTCAAATCAAGTTCGGATTATAAGTAAATCGTTTTTACGTTATTGAACCGTTTTAACTTGTCAAAGGAAGAACTTATCCAGCAAGATAAGAACGTTTTCATCTCATTATGATTGATTATGTTGTTAGACATGCACATGTCGTTATTCAAATTAATTACGTCCGCCAAACTTCAGTAGAAGTACTTTTAGAAGTAGAATTTCCGGGTGACAAGGGAAATAAAATGTTTTCAAAAGAAGCGTTTTGCAAAACTTGCTTAACGTTTTCTCCTGTGCGCATCTTTATGTTTTAAAGGGCTGCTTCCTATATGACAAGTAATTGACTTACTGCTAATGTTTCCAGCTTAGAATTCATTCTTTTCTTTAGGTCAGATGACAAACGAGGAGATACTCTCAACTTTGTTCCTCTTTTATTCCCGCAGAGGTCTGAGTACGAGCAAACCGTATGTCTCTGTCATGTTTATTTATCCCTTCTCGCATTGATCTCCCTGTTTCACCGATGTACACTTTGCCGCATTCACATGGGATCTTGTAAACGAAACAGTTTTGTTTTGTTGATTCCAGGGCGTCTTTAGGTCGTACTAAATAAGACCTAAGTATTGTGTCAGACTTTTAAAACGGTCCGTATGCCTTGATGTTGTAGGCAGCGACGAAGAGCCTTTAGTACACCCTTTATGTAAGGGAGAACAGCAATAGATTTAAATTCCTGCGCAGGTTTTTTGTTGACTGTTGATCTGCCATCTTGACTTGCAAATTAAGATAGTCCAATCGATCGCTTTGTCGGTTTAGCTCAGGTAAGAGAAAATAAAGGAACAATTATTTCCCCTTAGTTGTTCGCGAAAACTTGTCTTTTGCACGTTAAAAAGAACAAAACAAAACAAAACAGGTTCCGCTTTACCTTAGGGAGGTCCCAAGGTTTGTGTTGGTACGTAGACATAGTTATGGATGTCAGCATGATGGTAATTGTTCTTTTTCCAGTGCAGTTTTGATATGTAACTTTGAAAATATTTCTGTTTCTGCGAATTCACAACTAATTTAGGCAATGAGGATGATGTAATGCAAATATTCCCATCCTGCTGCTAAAAGACTTACAAACATTCAAGAACAAGAGAATACGATTCATACATCTGTGTGTCTTTAAATCACTGAAGGTAAGTATTCGAATGGTGCACGAGAAAAACATTTAGAAATTTGTTTCGATAATGAGCGGTAACAATTTTTAAAAACTAGTTTAAATTTTGAACACCGGAAACTGCAACAACAGATGGTATCGACAAGATATGACAAGACGAAAAACATCTTTCTCTATTTCTTTACCGAGCTCAAAACTTACCATCTCTTCCTCAACGTGGAGTCTCTGTAGCTCAATGGTAGAGCATCGGAGCGCGGAATCCGAAGGTCTGAGAGTCGATTCCTCATGGGGACTCAGAATTTTCTCTTCGTCCCACGCTCGTGACAAGACGAAAAAACATCTTTCTCGATATCGAGATCGTTATCCGCGTTATCATTCGAGTTATGGAAAAGAACAACTTCCCAGCGTGATGCGAAATTAAAAATAGACTGAAAAAAACAATCATGGATCACAGGGATAAGTTCCGCTTACAGTTAATATTCTCTAGTTTAAAAATAAACAAAAAGTTCTCTGTGTAGAGTTTAGCTGTTGTTATATGCTAATACATAAAGTGAACTCATTGTATGTTATTAGGATGCTAAATTTAACGCAAACATGAGTGACAAGACGAAAAACATCTTTCTCGATATCGAGATCGTTATCCGCGTTATCATTCGAATTATGGAAAGGAATAACTTTCCAGCGTGGTGCGAAATTAAAAATAGACTAAAAAAAAACAATAATGGGTCACAAGTTCCGCTCACGGTTAATATTCTCTAGTTTAAAAATAAACAAAAAGTTCTCTGTATAGAGATTTAGCTGCTGTTATATGCTAATACATAAGGCGGACTCATTGTATGTTATTAGGATGCTAAATTTAACGCAAACATGAGTTTAATTTTCCATAACAATTCTCTTCTAAATAGATCTTGAAGAACACTGTCTCCACCTGTATTTGATGGCAGGAGTAAAAGATGTTGGTGTCTATTACACGAATAATAACTTCTGATTATTTGTCCATGACAAGTCTCTGGAAAGTTATTTGAGTAAAACTACTCTTATTACAAAATAAAAACTTGGTTTTGGATTCACAATGATATTTCAAGACAGAGCCGTTATGATGAAATCATTGCAAACGTAGGACATCGGAAACGTTCATTCCAACTTGCGTTGAGGCCGAGACTTGGCTTTTTTCAAAATGGATCGACTCTGTCCAAACCAATGTTCACTATATGACATAATCATTTCGATGAACATAATTGTTTTGGCTTTTTTGTCATGCTGTGGTCTGATCTTTTGCTTCGCTTCAATGTTACTTGTTGTTAACAAGCACGAACGAGCAGCTCGTGTCTTAACAAAGCAGCTCCACTTTAATCATCGATTTTTTGTTCAAAATCCGGGAGAAATCTGCAGTTAAAATGATGGCAATTGTTATAGGAGTTTTCCTTCTGGCGAACACATTTGCTTTACGATGTGGTTATATATTATTTTTTAAAACGGGAAAAACATGTGATGATGAAGAATATAAAATACCCCTTCTTGTTTTAAACTCTGCTATTAACCCCATTGCGTACGCCTTCTTCAAGCGGGATATAAAGAAGGAGATGACAAAATGTATTTTCTGCGTCATCTAGATAAAGTAATGCAACTTTTTCAGCTAATCCAAGAAATCTGCAAAATTTGTTTTTTTAAGCTTTCATTACTAGTTTGTCAATAGGCGTTGATAATTATGGAACAAAACAAAATTGTATTCCAAGATCACTTCTAAAATGAGGCTGCCTTTTTTTCTCCAATTTGTTGTTAAACACCTCAGTGATCTTTTCCCATCTCTAACTGTTTCCCTTTCCTTTCTAGTGTACCTCATTCGATTTTGTTTACCAGTTATTTTTAGTTGCGTGTGTATCTTAAGGTACCCTTTAAAATTCTTTACCGCACAAGCGTGTGTTGCGAAGAGTTTGAAGTGTGAAAGAGCGCGATATAGATGGTACGCCATACTGCTATTTTACCCGCGAAACCAATCAGAACGTGAGACTGTCAACATTTGCACCATCCGCATCAACGACACCCGCACAAGCGAGAGATGGAAAAGCAAGACGAAAATAGAGGTTGCAGCTAATGTTCTAGGCTTTCCCTTACTTAGAAAAGTTGACGTCACTTGGCTGGAAGGTGAAAGAAGGAAAATGTGTTATATTGAACCAAAAAATACGACGTAGTGTGGGCATTTGAAAGTCACAACTTTCAATCTTTTGAACGTGGCGTGACAAAATAGAATACGTGTTTATTCGCTCGCTTGTGGTTGGGACGCATCCCAAAAAATAGAAATATAATTGAGAATGTTTAGAATAAAAAGGCTAAAGAAATCAT